CCACCCACTGCTTGCCAAAAGTTCCGAAAGCTGTTGCCAGGCCTCATCCACGGAATAGAGCACGAGGTACTATGTTTCACAGCGCATCTGCACACAGTTTTCATTTCGTCGGCGGGTTTTTGATTAGCGAACGCCTCCAGGAGGTTGGTCGTTCACCCTACAGTCCTGATCTGGCTCCGTGTGACTCTTATGTTCACCAATGTCAAGCGCACAATGCGTATAATCGTATACGAGTCGCCTTCATTAAACTGGTCAAAGGGCTCCTCAGCTGGTACAACTGCATGTAACTGCGCATGAAGGCTGGTGAAGAATACTTCAAGAAAACGTGGTTCTTAATTTTAGTAACAAATGAACTTTTTTCTCAGCCCTCGTATGATAAGCTATATGCACCTTGTTGAGATTCTCATTTGTGGTTCGGTCTTTCAATCAATATCGATGAAACAGATTTTCTCAGTGATTGGGATCAGGATAACAGTTGGATCTTTACTTAAAATGAAAGACAGTTAAACGGATCATCTCCTAACAATTGATTGCACCCACGGTCTTTGCTGTAGTTTGCTGTCTTTAATGTCAAACTTTGTCATCATATGTATTGTTGACGAGTGGTGCAGTGAAAACGTTCCAGTTGCATGAATGCACCATTCACCCTCTATGCAAAGATTCCTTCTTAAATCTTTGCTAGCCTTTCTGTGTACAAATTACTGCTTGTGCAAAATTATTGATAATATGCAGTGATACTTTTTATAACTCAACGCCACACACCAATATGGATATCTAAGTCTGATGATTGGTAAGTATCCCTGACTGATAATGTTTCCCCACTTTGGGAAAACAGGCCTTGGGATAAATATCATCGAGCACAACTTCGTTCATATGAAAAATAATAACTGAAACTTTGCCGTAATATTACTCAGTTACATCATTTCAAAATGGGATTATTTTTAACCGGAAAAATTGAGTTATGAGTAGAACTAAAAGGAGCAAACAAGTTCGGTTCGAATGTTTTGTCGCCAGTCGAGTACAGCATAATTATGTACTGCTTATAAAAAGCTACGATAATTATGGATGAAATGAAAAGACTACATGCAAATATAAGATTCACAATGGAATCTGAATCCAACAGCATTCCAGTTCCTTGATATTAGCATGATCAGAAGAGAAGATGAACCAATCGCTCTATCCGTTTATCGAAAGGAAACCCGACCAGGCCAATATTTACACTTCGAGAGCTTTATTTTCCTGAAATATAAACGCGGTCTTGTTTCGACCTTATTTAATAGAACAAGGTGAGTCTGCACGAAAGACAGAATTGAAAAAGAACTGCACAACCTTCGGGAATTATTAACAAAAAAACGCTTACCCCTAAGCGTTCGTTAACAAGCATAGCAAACGGCGAATTGCGAAAGAAACGATTGCGTCAGTTCGGAAATTGCGGGTCACATTGTGTTTTCAATTCAAAGGCGGTGACGGGAGCCGTCTACTCAACAAACGACTGAGATCAGCAATCTATCGAACAAAACTTTTATTAGTTGAGTTGTTATTATCTAGAATCGAATGAGGTAGCACATCTTGTTTGTCTTGAGGAAAAGGTTCTTTTTTCACGGTTCATACTGCTGTCCATGAAAATGCCTGAGCCTTAGTCCGATTCAAAATAGGAAATAACCTGGATTTCGCCGAGTTCTCTGAACCTCTCAAAACTTTCTTCGACAAATATCCCTCCAATTTCGATTTATGAGTCAAATACTGATTAAGAATAGGGATTAAAGGACTAACGCTTTTTCGCGTTCAAATATTCCGGATCACAGTTTAACTCATGCCACCACTCGTGATTTGCCCTCCATTTCTTAACCCATTGACAACGTACTTGGCTATGTAATGAAGCGCGGAAGACGACATTGGAAACCGCTTTGGCTATCTCATGAGGTACTCGATCATTTCAGTTTCGTAAGTGTTCAAATCCGTCGACTTTTTCGTTCCCGAACAACATTGCTCTGGATAATATAACATTTTATGTATTTTTTGAATACCATATTTTCATTTTCGCATTCGCAATGTAGGCTCTTTTGTATTACCTCAGATGCTGACAAATTTTCTACGAGTCTCTGGCAATGCTTGCCTAATCCTAGAACTCCATTTTACAAACAATTTTATTCAAAAACAATGTGATCTGAGTAACCATGGAAACCCTATTTCACCACCACAGTATCCTAGACTAGAACACACACACCACTAAATAATAAAACCCAGAAGTCACCATTGTGAGCAGTTCACACTCATGCGCAAAGTTACGTTAAAGAGCTGTCGATTAGCCTTCTAGTTACACAACCTGAGACTAGTTTCGGTAAAGCATTCAATGATTTATCAGCTATTTGTATATCATTCCATCTATTCCATCATACTTCACTATTCAGCACTTAATTGCATTGGCCTCCTTAGAAAGGAGTTCATTATTTTTCATCGCTGCTGGGTTATTATTGATCGTGTTTCTCTTAACCCTTTGCACATTCAAACCACAAAATATTGTGTTTTTTGTATTCTAAGCACGAATTTTTCCTGCAATGTTCACATCTACAACAGGTGTACTCTGCACCAGGATCGACCCATCTACAGTGCTCATCCCACAACCAGATACAATTTTTTCACCTCAGCATCCCAGTTCAACGTTTATCCTGACTCAGAAGTGCCTTGTTTGGCGACAATCTTGCTGAAGAAGGTTCTGTACAAATTTATGGTAAATCTTCATATGTGTTTCACTTTCTGTTCAACTTTTATCACTGATACGTTTGATGCTTTCGTCATAATTCACTCTCTTGTTAAAGTGAGTGTATCTCTAATTAAATTGCAGGCACAGATACCTACATCAGTCATTCCAACGCGAAACTAATCAGGTTGTCCCAACAACGTCATTTGGCTGAATTATCTTTATCCTCGATTCCCAAAGGATCGTCTTCCGACAACGCTTCTTGTACAGATAGCGATTCCGAAGAAAGTGAAATGAAACACAGTTGAAAAGGTGTAAGAGTTCATTTGGTGCGCAAAAAATATGGTTAATTATAGGGACGACGGAAGTGTAAGTGTACCTAAATACTGATTGACTGGATTGTTATCAACCGTCTTGGCGGTTTCAACCAATCACCTGAGTTTAACTAGCATTGCCCCAAAACATTGCAATTTTCACGGAGTTTTCTGACGTCTTGACACGTATCATCATGACTTTTACTAAAAAAAGTAAGCAGTATAAATTAAACGCGAGTTGAGGCGCTTTCTGCTTATATATATCTGGCAAAATAAACATCGATTCACAGCAAAATATGCAATGAGCACATTTTCGAATATCCACACTTTGAGAGACCGGCTTCACCGATTAAACAGTTATTTTGTACAATCCATAGTTTTCCACTGTTTTAGTCCTGTCAGAGATATGAAACAAAAACTAAGCAAGAGTTTCAGCAATGAAATGGCAACTGTTTCCTGCTCCATGTTGATAATAACCTAAAATTTGTTCGTAAAACAATATTGAAGTTCAGATCTAATTTATTATTTTATTCACAATTTTATCTCAAGCATCCTTCACCTTCATCATCATACAGCGAAATGCACTGAGGTAAACTTCACTGGTCTCTGACAAGCTTAAGAAGTACGTGAAGTAAGTGAAATAGTTTAAGGTGGCCAAGAGCATAAATTGCTTTGGGAGAAAGGATGGAAGAAAAGTCGATGCTCCATGGAAAGCACAAAAACTCCCTTGTTCAACTCTCCTGTGAATCATTTATCTACAGTCCTGAGAACAGAAGTCGAAACAAAGTTACAAAGTTTCATTTCAGGCGCCTGGAACAGAAGTAACACGAAAATGTCAGGCTGAGTATCACGTCGGAACAAATATCCATATTGATTCTCATCTTGTTTTTTAATTTAGTTTATACGCATTATTAAACCTAAAATCCCAAGGTACAAAATAAGGGATGGATGTTTTGGATGCAGGTTGTTTAAGTGCAAATGTAAGAAGTTTGTGTGAATGTACTTTCCACCGAGATTATATTCAATAAGCCGGCACCAATAGTGTTTCTCTTTTATTGATACTAAGTAGTTTAAATACAGATCGAAGTAGGTTTTTTACTTAACTTACTGATTTGATAAAAAAACATCAGTCTGATTGCACTAGTGCACTCAATTCGTAAGGCTGTATAGGTACATCACTAACCTCTGTTATATATCTACGTATCTGTAAACATATGATACGTTGAGATGAATCCAAGCTCCAGACGTCGATTGGACTTTGAAGGACTAACTTCAGTTGTTTCAGAACTTTTGAAACGGAGAAATTTTCATTATATAAACACTCAACATCGTGTCGATCTCTTGTTGTGTTGATGGATTCACACCGCGGATGATACCCAACCCGGTCGAATCAAATGTCCGCAGCTCCCTAGCTTTTAGCTCATGATTCGCCTACACAACGAATTCAACATATAAACAAAACAAATTTTCCATTTCTCTCATATAAAATATCTGGCCGTTGATTACAGAAATAAATTATTGTCCTTTGGTGTAACGATCTGAGTAACGCTTACGAAAGTGGCTGGCTTATCTGAATGAGTTATAGAATTTCTTTCAGAGTAAGTACTTTTGTCCGAATTGAGGACAAAAGTTTAATTCACAGTTGGTTTAAACTTCCCAAAGGATAAGGAAAATAAAAACATATTTCTGGAAGAATAATAATTAGGTAAGAAGAAATAATTGCAAAATGTACCAAGCTTTGCATCAGATAAGGTTTTATTTTTTTAATTACCTATATAAACAAAACATCCGGATACAGACTTGTAAATAGGGAATCTTGCAGTTTGAAATTACATCTGGTTAGATTTAGATAAGCAAACGGCTCTTTAATGAGTTTGCGTCACGTGACAGGAACACATTTGAGATCAGCAGTATCTTTTCTTTTGCTCTATGAACGAGAGGTGAAGTACCCATTGAATTTGGACGATACCAGTTGAAGAATCGATTTAAAACAATGCCACAGAACGATCGGATGGTGCAAATCCTTTCCACCAGGGTACTGAGAAGCGATACATACGATAAGTACAGTCGTGATCTAACAGTGCCAAATAGGTGCGGTTGTCCACCACATAGGGTCGTACATCAGTGCTGTCCTCTGTTAGGCGGCCAGTTTGAAGAAGATTTGAGTATGCCTTTGTGAACAGTAAAGAAAAAAGCAGATTTTGCATTTAGGAAGTGATGAAAATGAGCTGAAAGAAAACATTCAATGTTTGTGCCGAAATGGGAAAGGCGAAACACTTTGACGGTATATCGAAGGTTGAACAAAAATTATTTTATTTTCGAGCACAATTTGGAATAGAAGAAATTCAGACGATATGCAACAACTTATCAAATTGATGAGAGTTAAAATTGACCAGACTGTTAGTTGTTTTCCTAGCACAGTTAGCCTGTATACCATCACCAAAAACCCAAATCTGCATTTGGTATGCAGCCATCGGTTCTCCTCTCCCTTTTGAGTGTTTAGTTTATGCCCATTTCTCTTTAGATAAAAGCATTACATTCTTAAAAGTTGTGGTAGCGATACAT